ATTCAGCTCCTGCAAACAGAGCTCTGAGGGTGATGTATGTCACACTCGATGCCCAGTTCTCTGCAACCAAAGGCTGACAGACTTACTATTTTCTTATGAAAACTTAAAGGCAAGGTATGTCTCGTAATGTATTTTTGTAGACCTTAAACGTTCTCCCAAAGGGAGTGCTGGGTCTCCACCTTTCCCCCACCTTGATCTATGAAAAGCTGGCTGAACGCTGTCGTCTCTGATAAGACAGCACTTTGAAGGGACTTCTTGGCTCCCTGCCAGCAAAGCCTCTGTTTTGAAACTTCAGGTCTGAGGGGCAAAGTTTCTCTTTATCTGTAGTCAGAACGCATCCTATGGCATCCCATCAGCACAGTCCCTAAGATCTGCGTGATTACTAATAAAAACCTCTGGGTGGGAGGTGGTGGCCCACACCTTTAATCCCAGCACTTGGGGAGGCAGTCGGATCTCAGTGAGTTCGAGGCCAGCCTGGTCCACAGAGAGAGTTTCAGGACACCCAGGGCTATACAAAGAAACCCTGTCTCCAAGAACCAAAAACAAACAAAACAAAAAAAGAAAGAAAGAAAGGAAAGGAAAACCTCAGTCATGGCCTGATGCTTTGCTCTGATCAACATTTTTCACTCTGGTTGTTTTTTTTTTTTTTTTTCCAACGTGAAGTCACAAAGAGCCCATCTTTCGGTAGAGGAAGGGGAGAAAGACAGACTGATCAGTCACCTGGCTTTGATAAGAGCACACATTTATAGGTGCCTGGTTTGGACCTCAGTGCCCAGGTCCATGCCAAAGGATCTTTGTCACACTTGCAGAAGTCCTGACACATGCTTCACACCCACCAAGTTTGGAGCTGAATGTCTGGAATTAAGTATTTGCAGAGTTGGAATGAGATAGACCCCCTTGAGTCACCCTTGAATTCTACACAATGTAGAAAGAGAAAACTCTACCAGAGAGTCGGGGCCCCTCAGTGGGTGCCCCAGGTCCCGTTACCTTTAAATCTTGTTTTGATTTGTTTTATTTTTAATCAGAGTAACCCTTAGAATCTCAGATAAAAGACTCCGGGGACCCCAGATCTAGACGCTGCATCCCTGAGAGAGAGGAGGATCACCCATCTTCAGAAAACAGAACATGCCATCTAAACTCGTATCCCCATAACCTCATCTGAAGTTTCCGGGGGCTAGAGAGATGTCTCAGCAGTTGAGAGAGCTTGCTGCTCTTGTGGGACTGAGTGCCATTCTCAACACCCACATCAGGCAACTCACAACTGCTTGTAACCCCAGCTCCAGGGGACCCGACACACTCCTCTGGCCTCTGGAAGCACCTCCACAACTTGTGTTTACACACACACACACACACACACACATACACACATAAAAAGAAAATAAACCTCTTTCTTAAAGTTTCCACTTAAAAGTGCTCACCACTAGATAACCAAACATAAAATTGTTACACACTTCTTAAAACCACACACAACCATCTCAAACAGGTTAAAATTTGCTATACGTACAAGTTCATTTTTCACTAGAAAGAAACCAAACTACTCAATACCTACCCCTCTCCCCGCCAAAAAGACTAAAGAAACAAAATTCCAGTGGCCCTTAAAAGTAGTAAACACCGGGGGCTGGAGGGATGGCTCAGAGGTTAAGAGCACTGACTGCTCTTCCAGAGGTCCTGAGTTCAATTCCCAGCAACCACATGGCGGCTCACAACCACTTGCAATGAGATCTGGTGCCCTCTTCTGGCCTGCAGGGACACATGCAGGCAGAACACTGTATACATGATAAATAAATAAAATCTTTTTAAAAAAAAAAAAAAAAAAAAAAAAAAAAAGTAGTAAACACCAACAAGGCAGAGGATCTGTGATATTTTATTTCCTCATATAGTCTACAGGTACTAGGCCACACTTTTGGATTTTTTTTATACTTTTTTACATTTGACTTATGAATTTTTGCATGCGTGCGCGTGCGTGTGTGTGTGTGTGTGTGTGTGTGTGTGTGTGTGTGTGTGTGTGTGTGAATTCTCTCCTAGCATGTAGGTTCTGGGTATCAAACTCGGGTCGTCAGCCTGTTAGAAATCACCTTTACCTGCTGAGCCATCTTGCTGACCCCAAGTATATACATTTTTGTATATACACATTATTGACAGTAGACTTTTGGAACAAGTCAATCCAATGTATTTTCTAAGGTAAGATGCTTCTGTATTATAATGTTATACTCTCTGCTGGACTCTCATTACCCCAGATACTCCTGAATAGAATGATATAGGAGGGTAAAAAAATAAATGGTTTGTAATATGGGAAAGAAGAAAGAGAGCACCATCCATGCTCAATGCCATTTGGTTCTGTCCAGATCTCAGGGAACAGGAAGTGTGAATGGGCCTAAATTTAAGCTGCTGCCGACATATTCATGATAGTTACTTGCAAGCAAATCCCAAGTGTCTAATCCTTAAGACGTAGATATGCTGTCACACCCAACCTGCGTATCCAATCACACGTGAGTCAAAGTGCAAGCCAGGGCATGTGGGGAAAGGGGCCGTGGTAAAAATCCTTGGGGTCCAGTACGGGTCTGGGGGCCAGGGTTGGTTGTGTGAACATGCCATTTCAAACCCATGTGTATGAGTGAATGGGTGTGAACATGCGTGGGTATGTGTTAGTGTGTGTGAGCAATGTGGTGAAGGTGAGGGTGGGCACGAGTGAGCATGTGTGAGGGAAAGTGGCAAGTGTGAATGTGCCCAGCTGTAGGGTAGTAATGCTGTACACACAGAAGCGAGTGCAAGAGGCACAAGCAGGACCAGTTTAGCTTCAAATATCCAAAGGACAGCCCCCAGGCCCCCAGGTCAATCAAGATGTCTGGTCTCCTGCAGACAAAAGAGCAGTCCTGGGTAATGAGTGATGTTTGACCCAATGAGCAGATGGTTTGGCGTTCCAGATAAGCTCTAGCATCACAATTAGTCTAAGAGGAGACCTCTGCTCATAGTGCAAGCTCTCAACCAGAGCACAAAAGTCCCTAGGATCCCATCATTTCCAGTTGGTTACCCACACTCCTTTGACCACAACACACGTGTTCATATCCTCTCTCTCTCTCTCTCTCTCTCTCTCTCTCTCTCTGCCTCACATGCTTCAGAGAGCAAAGCTGGCAGGGGATTTCTTTTTCCCCTGACTCCACTCTGTGGATGTCTATAAAAACCTGTTCAAAGACGGGAGGTCGGTGGGACAGCAGCTCACTTCTACCTCTGGACCTCTAACCTAACTTGAAAACACCAGTTACCTCCCTGGTTACACATTTGGTTTTACTCTGACAAATGAAGAAGAAGAAGAAGAAAAGGAGAAGAAGGAGGAGGAGGAGGAGAAGCTGCTCACTTGTCATTATTTATATCCCTTTTTTTCCAGACAACACTTGGATGTAGGGACTGTCTTGATAAGCAGTAGGTAAGAGCTGATCAGCCACTACAACAAAGAGCAAATGGAAATTTGATAACAAAGAAAGCTTTTTGGGTGTGCCAGCCATACTTCAGGGTTTCAAAACAAACGGGAGTAACGGGCAGAAGACCCTCTCTTACTTCCTAGGCCTCTAACTGCTGAGCAGAGGGCAGAGACATTTGGGCGTCACCTTCAAAGAGAAGCATTTCCCATCTGCCCTGTGACCACTGTCTGCACCAGGCTGGCTGCCCACCCCTAAAGGTGGTACAGTATCCCTGTGCCCGCCAGCAGGTGTGAGATGCCTGGGGAGCTCTTGTCCTGGCCACAAAATGCCAGGCTGATTAGGACTTGACTTTGCATACGAATTTGACTCTACACCACTAGCCGAAGAGTTTCAGGGAAGGCAATCGATGATCCTCAGAACTAGACTGTGATTGCTCAAGTGCAAGCTGAAAAGAATCCTGTTTTAGAATTCAAAATTTCTTAGGAAGGCGTGCTGAGCCGAACTGTAACGCATCCACTAAGGATGGAGAAAGTTATTGGGGTACAAATGCGTGGGATCTCACATTCAAGATGAAACCAGAAGGCTGCCCACCAAAATACCACGCAGCTTTCCCCGCAAGGTAGCCTACAACCTCTTGCATGCCAGGTAAGGAAATTCCCCCATACTCCTCGCAGAGGCAAGAGAAAGGCCATCCCATTTGACAAGAGCTAGCTGCAACATTTGTATCTTCTAAAAGAGGCTGACCTCAGCCCAAAGCTCAGATTAACCGTGTAGGAGGAACAAACATCTGTCCCTGCCACAGACAGACCAAGAGTCCGTGGAATGAACCCAAGCACACATGTGAAAATGTACCTGGAATGGACCTGTCACAACTTATACCCCTTAGGAGACATCATGGGCCTAACTCAGACAACTCAATCCAAACAGCATTCTGCTACGAAAGAAAGTATCTATTGGACCCAAAAGGTAGTTTTCCTTTGAATTCACATGTCATACTGCATGTCAGTTACGCCAGCTACGCTGACATTGCCAAGCTCTGCCTAACTTACTGAGCGAGGCTCAGTAGTTGCTCATCCCATAGATCAACCACACAACCACAGCTGCAGAGGTCAGGATCCTGTCACAGAATCATAACAACTCACATTTCTGCCTGGTAGTAGAGGCTGAGCGGAGCCGACAGATATCCTTGTCAGCCTGAATGAATCATGAAATGAAGTGTTTCGCTTCAGCAAGTGAAAGCCACATTCAGCAGCTCTGCTCACTATCTTTGGAAATCAGGAAGGTTTGTTATTGTTGACATTCACGAAGAGTATGTTCCTCTTAACCCGTTTTTTAAAGATGTATACGGTAGGAATGACTCAAATTCAACTGTCCAGCCTATAAAGTACTTGGTTGGTACCTCTGTGCCCCACAACAAACCCGCCTGTAGAGAAATATCAGTTGTGATTCCATCAGAGCCCTGCTCAGAGTCCTTACCGCTCAGCAGAAACTAAGGAAACCAGGAGAGTACATGAAGCATCCAAGGTCTGCTGAAAACATGAATTCTTAAAAAAAAAAAAAAAAATGTTCGGCAACACTCACCACTCTGGGCTTCTGCTGGTCCAGGGTATGCAAAAAGGCTGAGTTGGGGTCCAGCGTCCGCTCAGGGTCACTGGAGATGTCCTCCTCTGAGTCCTCATAGGAAGAGGAGAAGCCAGTGGAGGAGGCGGAGGAGGATGACAGCTTCCTCAGAGGCAGGGGACCCCGAGGGCTTCCTTGTATCTCATCTAAGGCCCCATCCTCCTGAGCACCCATGTCTGTGATGATGACTGCCGGGATGCTGCTGGGGCTACAGGCCTTGTCCTTCTGGTCTGGGGGCATCTCTGGGCAGCTAGGGTGAGCATCTCTGTCCTGCAGCTGGCTTCCCCACGTTTCCATCAACTGTACCCCCGTGTCACGCGTCCAGATCAGGGGACCTTCCTCCATGGCACTCAGCCAAACCCTGGAACTCCCAGGCTGCATACCCATCCTGCCCCCAGGGAGGCACTGGGGTTCTTTCAAATCTGTTGCCACTTCCCCAGGTGGTAAAGGCTCCAGCATTCTACCACAAAGGGTTCCTGCCTCCACATTTCTGGTCCCTGGATGTGCTGCCTGGCTGCCCCCAAGCAAGCCCAGTGCTGGAGACCCTTCTCTCACAATGTCCAGGGTCTGCTCGGGTCCTCGGATCCCTGGGATCCTACTTCCTGTCTCCTCAAGTCCTAGAGAGCCCAGGTCTCCTGGCAGTCTAGACGATCTCGGGTCCTCTGAGGCCTCTGAGCTTTGGGCATTCACAGTCCTCTCTTCTGGCCTTTTGGTGACTTCAGGTGTCCAGGAACCCTGCCTACCAACAGGATGAATTCCTCTCCCCACCCTCCCAGGGGGTTCTCTAATGTGGGTCCCGCCAGGCTCTGGGTCTGAGCCTGTCTCCCTGCCCAGAAACTGCCCCGGTCTCTCCATCTGGGCCTCCCAGGGGCGCACGCCCCCGAGCTCGTAGGCTGCCTCCATAAGAGCAGAATCATGTCCAGGGTGTGGTCCAGCGGATGCGGCTGAAGCTGCCACTTTAGTGGCCAATGCTAAGCTAGTTCCAAAGTGCTCCGATGAGGGAGCAACCCTCTTGTCAATTTCCATGGCTGTAGGTGAGCCACAGCGGAGACTGGCCGGGGTGCCACTCTCCATCCTCACTGAAGCAGATGGACTCTGAGTCCCTAACCTGGTCGGGCTGGAGGGGCCTAAAAGAGGGGCCACTCCCTCCTTGTCCTTCGAGGGGTGTGGGCTGAGCCTGCTTCTCCTCCCGGAGTTGGCGTCTGGGGTCTCTGTACATTGCTCTCCCCAGGACTTTGTCCTCCGTTCCACACTCGGGGAGCACGGGGCCAAGACCCTTCCAGGGGGCTGGCTGCTGCTTCGGAAGGGACACGGAGAAGGCGAACGATCCCTTCCCAAACGCGGGCTTCGGGGCGCTTGGATGGCAGAGCTCTGTGCCTGGATTTGCGCCTCGAACATGCCCACTTTCTGGTTCACCTGCACATTTTGCAATTCGCGCTGCAGAATCCGCAGCTTCCTCTGGGCCTCCTCCGGCCCGGGTGGGGAGAGGGTGCGGGCCGCCACCACCTGCTGCGCGTCCCCTCGCAGGCGGCCAGCCCAACTCGGACTGCCCACGCCACTGCTGCCGCCGCCGCCGCTGCTGCTGCCGCTGCTGCTGCTGCTGCTGCTGCTGCTGCCGCCGCCGCCACCGCTGCCGCTGCTACTATTCAGCCTGCGGCGGCCGCTGCGCCAACCCCCAGGGCTCGGGGGCTCCTCCAGCGACAGAGACTCCGCTGGGGGGAAGAGGAAGGAGGCGCCTCTCCCAGGGCTGAAGACGCTGCCGGGGCTCAGTGCGGCCCTCCCGGAGGGCTGAGGTGTCTCGCTGCCGCTGGGCCGGGGGCCGCCACTCTTCACCTCGTTGGTGCTGTTCATGATCACCAGGCTATTGAGGGCATAGCAGTACACAGCCATAGTACTGGGTCTGCCGCCGCCGCGGCTCTTGGTCCCGCTGCACCGCCGGCGCCTCCTCCTCCCGCGGCTCCCGGCTTAGTCCTGGAGGCCCGGCGGCCGCCGCTCCGCACGCCGATGGAGCAGCATGGCCTAGGCGGCGGGCACCGGGTCCAATCGCGGGCTCGGCCCCCGCCCCAAGCTCCATAAACGATCTCGCGGCTGTCGGGACACAAGGAGAAAAGTCAGAATTCCACAAGGCATCCAGGGGAGGGTGGTGAGAGCCCACCCGCAGAGGCCAGAGGGAGCCCCGGGACCCCAATATGCTGGGGACAGGGTGCCCCTGGATGCCCGGCCTACAGGGGCTGTGATGCTCTGTGAGGAGGCATGCCGGCCTGCCTCGATGGCCTCTGCTCGTGTTTTCCGGCAGAGGTCCACCTCCCCCAGCTTGAGATACGCTCTAAGGACACTTAGAATCCCCCAAGTCTAAGATTAGTCTTGGTAACCACGCGGATGGCCGAGGGAGGAGGTACAACTGCTGAGTTCCTAGGCGAGGCTGACCAGGTTCCCTTGGCCAGAGCAAACGCCGGCTGTCGAGGATGACAGGCAGCCCTGCTCCACCCTCTCAAGACATCAGAGACCAAGTCACAGGGAACCTGACCCGGACCTGCCTTCCCCAAACCGCTGCCTGAGCCGAGACCTGGGCCGTTTTCTTTCCTGATCCTGGACTTGGGGCTATGTCTCTCGGCCTGTGAAAGGCCTGGGAGAGCGCAGGGGGTGCAGGCCAAGCACTTTTCACTACTAGCCTTGCTGCCTGTCTCCAGAGAAGTGTGTTTTGTGAATGTGGGCACGCGTGCGCGCCTGGGAACAAAACTCTGCAGTATCCAGTACAGGAGTCAATAGTGGAGGCCCCCTACTGTCCCCTCACACCCTGTAGCGTGTGTGTGTGTGTGTGTGTGTGTGTGTGTGTGTGTGTGTGTGTGTGTGTGTGTGTTGTTGGGGGGTGGGAGGGGTGTGAGCCCGCAGCCCCTCATTCCTACGCTCATCCTGTTAGCGAGCACCCAGCTGTCCCGGTAGGCTCCGGGACCCGCACCCCTCGGAGGAACTCTAGACTTGCTTGCACGGCTGCAGCCCGGAGGCCTTCTAAGTGTGCAGGCCGGAGAATCTGCAGCCCTTTGGAGATCTGCATGCTAAGCCTGGAGCGGTGCGGCGGAGGGCAGGGCCTTGAGCATCCCGGGCAGCCTCGCCTGGCGCCAACCGAGCCGCCCGGCAGTCCGAGCCCCAGACGCCCGCAGCGCGCCGGGGAGGCGGCGGCGCAAAGGGCCTGGAAGGGGGTGGGAAAGCCGAATCGCCTCCTCTGTTCCCAGCGCCACTCCACGCCGCCCTCCCGAATCAGACTCCTTTCTCAGTCTCCTCAGCCTTCCCCCTCTGCGCTGTGTTCGGACCCCGGAACACCCAGAGGAGCCCCAGCACAGATGGAGCGGAAAGAGGGTTCCGAGGCAAGAGCCAGGAAGGAGCCGCCACGCTTACCTGCAATTGCTCAAACTCCCAGGTCCCGTGCAGGCGACATGCCCTGGGGACTCAGGGCTTGGGCAGACCAGGTGGCTTCAAGTAGAAAACGCTCCCAAAGGATTTCCGCAACAACTTATGGAAGACGAAAAAAGTGGGGTGCAAAGAGGGTGAATGTGCCAGCACAGGGGCCAGGCGATCCCGCCAGGCCGACCCTGAGCAGTTCCTTGCTTGGTCAGAGACACTACCGCTGTCAGCGTCTGCTCCCGGCTACTTCAGTGTTTGTTCAATGTAAGATTAAAAAAAAAAGTTGGGGGTTGGGGGAGGAGGCAGAAAGGCGGGGGCTTGGGGGAGGAAGGCAGGAAGGAAGTTGTGAGCCTGTCTGGGGTTGAACTCAGCGGAACAAGTTTTTCTTTTCTTTTTTTTTTTTTTTTTCTATTGCTTGGCAAGACCGAGGGAGGGAAACACTTTAAAAAAAAGTTTCCATTGTTAGCTAACAAAAAAGAAAAAAAGAGGCTTTTAACTTTTGCGGGTTAAAGATAATACGATTTATTTTCCACCCCTCGACCAAGGTTTGCTGGTGTCTATAGTTTTATGAAGATACTTTTGAAAACTGTTTTTAATGAAGTTTTGAGTGTTTGTGCTAAACAAAGCCGCTAGTGGGGGATCTTTTAGCATTTAAAACGGGCTAAAATTCTGCACAAACGGCTTGTGTGCTTGTACACAACAGGCAAATTTTGAAAGGTATAGTGTAGGGCATTTCCTTGCACAGTGGCAGATTTTAAATGCATCGGGGTAGTATTTTGGAAGGCCGGCTGGGCTGTGAGCTGCTGAAGGGTGTGCAGTGTGACTGCTAGATGTGTGAAGGAACTTGGGGTTATATATTTATCTATAAATGCACACAGCAACTGTGCCATTCGCATATTTTTGCACTCAATTCTTAAAGTTATTTTAAGAAAAAGCGTAGTCCCGGATCTCAGGCCTGATCAAGGTCTGAAATCACTCGCTCAGTATCCTGTGAACTTACTCTCCTGGGTTTTCAAGTGTTCTGCTTCACCCTAAAAAAGGGGGGTGGGCACCAGTCAACATTACAGGGCAGGGCAACACCCCCCCCCCCACACACACACATATACACTTGAGCCTGGGCACCGCCAATGTGTTTTTGCATAATTCCCTAAATCTTAACCCTAGCATTTAGTGGGAACAGGCAAACACAGCTGTGAGGCTTAGGAGATTTAAGAATCCAAAGCTTGAATCCACCCTTACATCCTGATTAGCCAAAATTCAGATGGAAACTCTGACTTTGCCTGTAGCAAACAGACGGCTTACTTGTTTATGTAACAATACCGTTGAAAGTGAGCAAGGCAACCTGCTGCTTGGTCAGGAAAAGACTCAAGCAAATCCGAAACCAAGAGCTCTTCCAGCCAAGAATTCCTGGAATCAGACAAGTCCTTTCTGAATTAAAAAAAAAAAAAAAGCAAAAACCAAAACAAAACAGGAAAAAAAAATGTCATGAAAAGACTGAATCTCCCACCCTCCATGGGGCTGAATAAAGAGAGCCCAGTGTTTGCTGAAGGACTAACTCAGGCTCTAGGTGGTTCCTGAGACAAAGAAGCCACCTCCATGTTCCTTATTTGGTCCCTAGTGGCAAGAAGAGGAGTTGTCCAACCCAGAAGACTGATGCCCTAAAGTCTGAGAGGTGATTGCCCTAGGAGATGCCAAGAACCATGACAAGTGTCACAGCAGCAGCTGAAGAACACAGCAAAGCGCACCCTTTCCAGCCCGGGAGAAGCTGTTCCCAGTCGCTACCATCTTACACAGGCAGTTCAGTCAGCCTTCCCTAGCTGAGAAATGAAGGCTTCCTGAATGTGCACTTAGTCTGAGTAATCCTTGGCCCCTTAGCAGCTGTCAAATATGACATGCAGATGGGTCTTCTGGCTTCGATGTAAGGAAGACGAGGTGATAATTCAAACCGTGACATTGAGTGGGTTTGGTTGGGCGAAAGTTCCAAACTTGGAAGTCAATGTGGTAGGCTTTACATCGTACCACAGAGTCTAGCTGGTTTCCACAATTTTAAACGAATGTAACATGTAGTATTTGCTATTTGCCAGACACTGTTTTAGGCACAGTATGAATGTTTACACAGGACTGGGTGAAGGAATGCCTTCCTAGCACGCATCATGCCCTGCGTTTCATCCTCAGCACCACATAAAACAGGCATGTTGCCATGGTGACACATACCCATAATTCCAGCACTCCAGAGGCAGAGGCAGGATGATAAGAAGTTCAGAGTCACTGTCAACTACAGAGTTTGAAGCCAGCTTGAGCTACCTGAGACCCTGTCTCAGCAACCCCTCCCTGCCCCTAACACACACACACACACACACACACACACACACACACACACACACAAAAGAAAAACACAATTTACACAATTTTCAATCTTTTAACAACCCTGTTAGGTAGGCATTGTTACAAGCCTCATTTACACAAGAAATTAGAGGCAAGACATTTGGGCAACAGGCACCCCCAATACCACAGCGGGTAAGGCTTGATCAATTCGAGTGCAGACCGGTCACAGAATCCACGCTTTTGCTACGTCTTACACCAGTTATTCACAACTAGTTACTGCCTAACTTTTCAGAGACACCATTTGCTTACTTTGGGGATGGAATTTTAAAGATCAACACTATAAACTTAACATGTCAGAAAGAGCAGCTATGTAAACTCCGTAGCTAACATCACACCTAACCATGAAGGACACATGGGGGGATGTGCTTTACCATAATGAGGTTAGGACCGTCGCTCTTACCACGTGTCAACGTTGTACTTGAAAAGCTGAGTGGGGGAGCATGTGCCTACAATCCCCACACTCCAGCTTCATCGCCGACACACTGCAAATTCAAAGCCAGTTTGAGCTATGTGAGAAAACCTGTCTCAAAAAACAAAAACTGTGTACCTGACGTCCTAGTCAGTGTCGTCACCCAAGAAAAAGAAACAAAAGGCACTTAAGCCGAAAGAAGTAAAACTATCATTTAAGACACTATGCGTGTCTGCAGAAAAAAAGCCTAGTGGAATTTATAAAAGGCTACTAGAAATATAAGTAATTTTAGGATCAGAAGTTCAAGATCACACTCTACTCCATAGCAAGTTCAAGGCCAGCCCCTCTCTCTCTCTCTCTCTCTCTCTCTCTCTCTCTCTCTCTCTCTCTCTCTCTCTCTCTCTCTCTGTGTGTGTGTGTAGTATGTACATGTCCTTATGGATGTGTGCATGTACACATGTGCATGTAGAGGTCAAAGGTCAATATAGGTCTGCTTGCTTTCTTTTTTTTTCCCGGCAAGTTCTCTCTATACTGATATGGCTAGCCTGGCTGGTCAGTGAATTTCAGGTATCTACCCGTCTCCATAGCCCCCACCTCCAGTACTGGGATTACAGGTTCATGCCACCACTCCTGGGTTTTGTGGGAGTGCTGCTGGGGATCTGAACTCAGGTCCTGAGGCTAGCTTGTGTGGCAAGCACTTTGCAAACTAAGCCATCTCGCTAGTCCCCCGCCCCCCCCCCCAAAAAATGCTTCTTAGCTACATATAAATTAATTGTACTACACCAGAATATAAAAGTTTAAAACTCACAGAAGTAGGCACGGTGGTACATAGTTATAATCTCAGCACTCAGAAGGCAGAGGCAAGAGGATCTCAAGTTCGAGGCCAGCCTGGGCTACATAGCAAATCACTGTCTTAAACAAAACAAAACATACACACACACAAAAAAAAAAAAAACAATAAGAATAATCTTTAAGTGTTACTGAAAAAAATGAAAAGTGTCTGGGGAATATAGCTCAGTGTAAGCGTTTAGCATGGGAAAGGTTCTAGGCTCACTCTCCAGGACTGGTAAAAAACATATGCAAAAATATGCATAGCAGCTTTATTTGAATTGAGAAAAGGACGGTACTATCCATGGACGTGACTGGATAAGTGCCGGGTGCTGCTGTGTACACACTGGAAACTGCTCACGAGGGAGAATGGACTCTTGACCATCACAACATGGGGGAAGAAATCAGACTAAAAAGAGTATTTGCTGTGTGATTTAATTGATAGAAAATCCTTTTTAAAAAAAAACACAAACTATGGAGACAGAAAGCAGATGGGTAATTGTCGGGAAATATCTGTCTGTGGGGGAGGGGAGGGAAATGGGGGGAAAAAAGAGACCTGGGGACATTTTTAAAGTGATGAGCACGTCACTATCTTTTGTTTTTGTTTTTCGACACAGGATTTCCCTGTGTAGCCCTGGCTGTCCTGGAACTCGCTCTGTAGACCAGGCTGGCCTCGAACTCGCAGAGATCCGCCTGCCTCTGCCTCCTGAGTGCTGGGATTAAAGGTGTGCACCACAGCCGCCCGGCCCACACTACACCATCTTTGCAAAAATATTTACTTCTATTTTTATTTATGTGTATGTACTTGTGTGAATGTATGTCACACGTGTGTGCGTACACACGAAGGCCAGAAGAGTGTGTTAGATACCCTGCCTCTGGAGTTACACTTGGCAATGAGCCCCCTGACGCAGGTGCTGGGAACCATGTCCTCCGGAAGAGTAGTAAGTGACTTTAACTGCCAAGCCGTCTCTGCAGCCCCATGTTCACTCTCCTGGTTTTAGAGACGACTTCATAAGGATACACCTATGTGAAAACTTATCAAATGGAAAAATGAATAATAAATCCATTCTATTTAATGAATTCATTTAATGCTCTTTAATGAATTAAAAGTTCGTTTAAGGAATAAGTTGTTAAATATGAACAGCTTATTTAATATCAATAACAACAAGATACCTTTTTAAAAAACTAGGCATAGTGATATACACTTATCATCCTGGTACTCAGGAGACTGAGGCAGGAAGATCAGGGGTTCAAGACCAGCTGGAGCAATATAGCAAGACCCTGTTTAAAAACAAGCCAAAAAACAAGCAGCTAAAAAACTCATAGAACAAGCTGAGCAGGGGTGGCATTTATATGCCTTTAATTCCAGCATTTGGGAGGTGGAGGCAGGACGATCTCTGTGAGTTCAAGGCCAGCCTGGTCTACAGGGTGAATTCCAGGGCTGTTACACAGAGAAACCCTGTCTCAAAAAACCAACCAACCAACCAACCACCAAAAAACCCTCATAGAGCTATGGGCAGATACAGCCTTTGAAGAGGTTGCTATTGGCCCCACACCTGACATTCTTATTTACCTTCTTGGTAAAGTGTTATCTTAGTTTGCTTTCTGT